CGACAAGGTCAATGGCAAGGTTATAAGAATGCCCAGGAAATAGGGAGGATATGGTTCTGTTTCCTGTTCTTCAAGAAGATTTATTGTACTCGTAGTAGTAGGCTAGACCAATGGCATCGACCTTGTCCTAGACCCTTACAATAGAAGTATATAAAGAGAGTATAAATCGTTAAAAAGTAAATATCTCTTTCTTTATACTATTATAACTTATTATATTAAAATACTAAAATAATACTATATTTATTACTTCTATAACTACTAACTACTTTAAAAGTAATAATAGTTTTACTTAGTTTATTAAAAAAAGAAAATGATATTTATAAATTTTAAAGTAAATACTTTTTCCTTTAAAACTATAATAAATTTGATAAAGTATTATTCTTTTATTACTTATTAATATATATTATCCTCTATTAATATAGCTATAATAATCTATCTCTTTTTAAAATATTTAATAAGTTTAAAAATTTTACTAAAATATTTAAAAAGAATAAAATAACTAATAACTAGTATTATAAAGTAAATTAGTTAAACTATCTAAAATAAGAGAGTTTATTAATAGAACTTAAAGTAATACTATAACTTAATAGAGTAGTAGTTAATAAGGGTAGTTTACTAGATATATAGGGGGTAGTTAGAATAAGGGGGACCTCTTATATATCCCTAGTTATATAAAAATTCACAAAAGAATTCTTCACAAAATGAGATGGAATTATATCACGCTGGATTACTGTATACCGTTAGCGCTGCACCTCCACCACCATCTCATGGACCACACCTCGATCCCCCTCTGGGTGGTTACCGAAGCGCTTCGATATCTTTACAATTGTTGTATATAATGCAGCCCACCGGCAGCTAATCAGCTGGCACAGTCGAGGACATTTCTCGACAGCGAAGATTGTGGGCAGATGATCACTGATCCATGGTCTTATTGCTTGCTTCCTGCCCGAAGCATGGAAGCATACAGCATCAGTCTGGACGAATTAAGTCAGTACCATTCTGCCCCTACGTTTTTTCTTATCGTCTCTTTCCCTGGTACGTTCGACTTGAGTAAACACTTGGCATCGAATCCAAGATGGTAGACCGCCCAGAGACGTCCTTCACTCGAAGTAGGCACGAGGTCCAAACCGATCCCCAACCAATCCAGAAAAGATCTAGGTAAGACCAGGCCATATTGCTGGCTTTCTTGCTCTCAGAAGGCTTCTTTATACCTGTTGGGCGAGAAATGCAGCAATATGGAGTGAGGCAACGACACATGCATGACCACCTGAGGGCATACTACCCAGCACCGCGAAGTGCCACCGAAACCTCCAGAAACCTACGCTAAGCACGTCAATACATAGTGACTAGCTAGGTCTCTATAAAGGCCTAATCGGTGTGGTATTGCAAACCGTCAACCACCCAAATCCTCGTCGTACCTCCTTCTCTCACAAGACTGTTCCTGCATCCAAAGCGTGTGATGCATCTCTAAGCCAATGGCAATTCCATGGGACCACAGAGCCGAGATCAAGTAATGTCTATCTCAGCACTGTCTTCGTTCACCATCCCAACCATCTCATCATTCAGAGACGCATACATCAGAACCACAACAACTCTCAATTACCAACATCCCTGGGAAGCATCATCGCAAAGAGGCCTTCAATTCCTTTAAAGAAGGCTTAAAAGTCACATGGTACCTGCTCAAAGTATTGCTTGTCTTGTTCCACCTCCACTATCTCTGATCTCCCGTGCTCCTTAAATACCAGCCTCCCTGCGACCACGCTGAACAGTGAGTGGCAGCAGGCTTATTGGTATTTCATCATCTCCCATTCTAACCATCAGACCCATCAAATCTTTTGAACGGTCCCCGGGCCCCGTTGAAGTCCATCCTTAAACAGAATCAGGTAGCGATCTGGCTTTGAGACCTAACAAAAGAAGATGCAACGGAGGGACTGCGTTGCCGACCCTCTTGGAAGTACCGTTGCCAAACCAACAAAGTCGAGAAATGCGACATCGTCCAGCGTCACTGTCGCCTCAATGCGTCTCTCGTTTAATCGTTTAGTTGTGGAAGGTAGGAATCACATCCCACAGCAAACCTCATTCGCTGTTCTCATCAACAGCTGTTCTTCATTGCTCTACTATATTTGGTGAGGAATGAAAAAACCCCAAAGCAAACAATCACATTCTGAAGACCCAGAAGAGTACAGCCCGCAGTGCGTTTAAGTACCTATCCATAGATCCCATATCTAACCACATCACCACAGCAAGCGACTGGTATCAATCGCCGTCCCAAGACCTCAGGTACAAGGTCAAACACAATGGGGCAGAAGGAAATGCTGAATTGATTTGCCATGATTCCGAAAACGTTTCCAGCATCTCAATTCTGTCAGCTATCCACGATAAAACCAAAGTCACAATCCCCAACAGCCATGCTTCCGTGTCTTCTACCCTTCACTCATTCAACCAGATTACACGCCCAGAACCTACAACTACACCGACTTCAAAAGCCTCACACTGATCCAAATCCTGTTGTCATCCATTGCACTCGAAAGCGGCGCTTACTCGCATCGTGAGAAACGACCTCGTTCAAGTTTGCTTCAATCATGCCTCGAATACCAAGAACTATTTCTGCTCTCATGAAACGCAATCTCTGGCTGCTGGATTCTTACTTTTATACCCAGCTCGGCAGACTCATTTCATCAAGTACCTTACTTAAAACTCCATCCGAAGCTTCCTACAAGCCATCACCAATGGGGCATCTGGACACGATCTTGCAAGACAGGAGTGACCGTGAAAGAAGCTATGCGTCCCGTAAATCCCCATCACCCCATGCAAGGGCAAAGGCAACGGTAACGGAAATATCAACACAGACTCGAACACCGTCTCTGGGAATTTCCTCCGTCCGTAACTTATTCAAAGCCCCATAACCCTGAGGGCACAACTCAGAGAAAATAAATCTCCGACCGCCCCCTGGCCTTGGGTGCTCCAGTCTCAGTCATACGCATCAGGACGCTGTACCAATTAGCCACAGCCGTCAAGAGGTCCATTGTGGTTCTTCAGAAACCACAAAGCTCGAATCGAAAGCAGGATTAAATACTCAATTCAACTCACAACTCCAGCGGGGAGAACTCCTATCAAAGCGGTGTCATGTGACGCTAGTTACCATGTCCAACAACCTCACAAAACAATCACTCGGTCTAATCGTACAATCTCTGACCTCTTCAAACGGAACACTTCCTCTCTCCCATACACCCGTTCCATTCTCCCGTTCCCCCAATGAAGCATCCATTCCTAGCCATCATCCCCCATCTTGGTCTCCCTCGCAGTATCAACACGCCCAATACCTCCAAGAACCAACACCTCACCGCTAATCGTTATCTCATCTCCGTTCGCACCACCCTCCGTGGGCACAAGCAAACCTGCTCCCTTCGGTCTCGATACCGCCATTAACAAAAAGCATTGGATGAGTCCATTTGCCTGGCTCTCTACATACAATATGCCCGTCCAAGATACCCCCTAAATATCCCCGTCACCCTTCTACCTCAGCCCCTTCCACCCGTAGCACCGTCCACCCCAACATCCCACCAACCAACTCACATAAAAACAGCACCCCAAATCACATGGCAACTAATACAGGCGAAACCAGAATGCGCCTAGTCGCTGCTGCTCCTAAGCTCTTGCTCTCCAAGAACCTTGGCACACCCACACCGAGTTCCCAACCCATTCTCCCAAAGCACTCCCTCAAAAGCCTGCCCGAAACAACCTCACCCTTCCCTCCATCCCACATCTCCGTCTCTACACAGGCATTACGATCAGAATAAACCTCGACAAGTGGCAACCCTCACACCGTCACTCGGCAGGCCGTCTCTGCTACGCTCTTTCATGACGGACGCAGACACTTGGTATCGCGAGTGGCACTTATTCCACAAGTTGGAGGCATAGCGTGGTGCAACAAACAAGATTGTTGCAGAAAGCAGTCGATATCACGACGGGATGTGGTATTTATGCCATCCACTCTAAAGTTTCCGGCATTGGATATCCACACTCTACTACCAAGACAACCCCGAGATATATTAGCCACCGAGAGAAGTCACATCACGATTCCGAGGCACAAGCATCCTGTCTTAACTGCGTGTTCATTAGGCTGAGCTATCTAAGCATTCAAAGCCTTCAGAGCTAAAAGAGGAACCGGGAAAACGTTGCCATCAACATTTATCAAGGAAAGTGAGAGAGATATCCCCCATCGCCCCTCTCATCCACCAGGGGAAGAATCATCCATCATGAGGGTTGTGTGAACCGCAGCCGGATCAGAAAATATCAGAACCTGTAAAAAAGCAACACGCAGAAGCAAGAAGATGGAAAAGACTCAAACGCCACTTTTGACCCGGATTCCCGTGAAACCGCCGAACCCCCCGCCCAAAGACCGAAAGACCGCCGCCCTGTGTCCCAGCCCTGCATATCCTCAACGTGTGTTGATGCCCTTGTGTACTCTTCTCTCTCGCGCGCTTCGTGTGTTCGACAATAGTAAAGAAAAAGGAAAGGTTACCCTTTTTGGTTTTTTCTAGACGTGATTCCCAACCGTGAAAGAGAAATTCCCCAGTTGTGCCGTTGATCCGTGCGATGTCCAGTCATCCATCATGTTTTTGCCTCGACGAGCCATGTGATACCCCAGATGGCTCGGGGCTTCCCAGAGAGGAAAAAGAGAAAAAGAAAGTCCGTGATTTTTTGTTCCCCGCTGTCCTCATGCAATGGCCGTGTGCAACGAGAGAAAGGTGAGATGTGATTAAAAGAGAGAGGAAATAGGACAGAAACCAAATGACCGCTTGCCTTCCCGAATGATACTCCAAGTTGATGCCGTGTCGATGTGACATGATTGTGCGGGTATAAGGAAGGCCGTTTCAAAAGAGTGCATATTCTTCGCTCAGATCTAGGCGCTGATCAGTGGCGGGTGGCATCCGGCATGGGCTGCATAGTTTGCATGGGCTGCATGGGCGGCGTGGCGTACGAGTGGCGCTCAGGAGTGTGCTCGTAGCCGCGCTGGTCGGGAGTCATGTTCGGGCCGACTGCGAAGCCGTGCGCGGAAGGTGCGCGATGCATGGCACGGGGCGCATTCGGGGTGCTCTGGTGACGGGTGTGTCTGTTGACGCCAGCGGGACCAAGCCGGGACGCAGGGTTGGGCTGGAAGGGAGAGGCACCATAGGCGTACTGGCGTTGGGGATCCTCGTAGTAGTTGGGCTGAGCACCCTGGACGAAGGGATTGTCATGGGGACGAGGGTAGGTGCCATCGTAGCTGTCTTGCTCGACAGCGCCGGGGTACGGGTAGGCGGCGGGAGCGTAACCAGAAGAGGAGGACGGGCGGTAGTTGGGAGCCTGGCCCTGGTGGAAGCCACCAATCTCACTCTGGGAACGCTGATGGTACGCGCGACGAGGGTCGGGGTAGGTGGGCATGGTCGTGGAAGTCTCGAGGTGGGATGCCATCGACTTGCTGCCGCGACGCTGAGGAGTCGGGGCAGGGAGGGGGCCGCCTTGAGGACCGCCGGCGCCAAAAACGAAGGGACCGGATCCCATCTGGGGCTGACGGTAGTAGTCCTCCTCGGGGTGACCTTCGCGAATGTTGCCGAAGGCGGGTCGGTGCGGGATGTTCATGCGGCGCATGCCGGACGGGACTCTCTGCATGCCAGGCATGGCATTGCGGTCTCCAAAGTAGCCAGGTTCCATGTCAGTAATGCGTTGGCGTTTGTCAAAGGGAGAGGTATCGAAACCTTCTTGGCCCCAATAAGCATTGGGTTGGCTGACACGTCTAGCCATGGGAAGTGCTTCGGGGCGCAGGGCAACTCCCATCGATTGCGAGCGCTTGTGGGCAGCGCCGCCGCTCGTCTTGCGCTTGAGGTAGGTCTTGGGCTTCTCGTCGGGACCGTCGCTGCTGATCGTGGGGAGGATCTCGATGTCGGGAATCTGGCTGAGGCCGCCGCCGTCGATCTCGGTCTTCAGCTGGGCGACAATCTCTTGGATGGCAACTGTGGTGTAACCAGCACCGCACTTGCTGAGAAGCCACTCGGGGACCGCGGTTCCATTGAGCATGGCACCGTCGAGCTGCTCGTCGTCGGACTCGTCTTGGTAGGCGCGCTTCTTCGACTCCTTCTTGTCCTCCAAACGCTTCTGCTCGCGCTTTCGAATGGCCAAGGACCAGCTGTTGACGACTCCAGCCTTGCCGGCGCGCTCGTTCTCGTCGCTCCATTGCTGAACGCGAGCGATCTGCTTCTGGACGAGGTCAACCTGAAGCTTCGAATACTCGTGGGCGTTGCGGTAACGACTGCGCTGATAATGCTTGCGACAGAAGTGAACCCAAACGTGAGCGGGAATCATGCGAGTGCAGAGCTTGTTGCGGCCGAAGATGTGAGAAATGGCCTTGCGAGGCTGGGATCCGGTGTCGCAGTTCTCGATGTACATGCACTTGATCTCATCCTGGTTGGCCTGAGCCGGGGGAGACTCAGGAGGAGACATCGCGTAAGGTTGCTGAGGGGGGAAAGGAGCAGTCTCGGAGACGGAGGGGAACGGCTGGAAAGTAGGGGCAGAGATGGCTGCGAAATCGGGGGCAGAAACCGCGCGTTTGTGAGTTCTTGATTGAGGGTGATCCTGGGGAAGGGAGAGATAATTAAGGTTGTCTTGCTGCTGTTTTGAGTGAGGGCTGAGAAGTCGAATCGTCAGTAGAGTCCAGCTCGAATTGATCGTAGGTGTTTGGCAGAAAAAGATGGGTTGTTGCGAGGCAAGAGACGGTTTAAATAGGGAAGGAGAAAAAAAAAAGACGAAGTGATGCAGTGCTCGAGACAGTGACAGGTGCAAATGGGTGAATCGGGTGAGGTCGTCGTGGGCCTGAGGCGTTCGTAGACATGAGACGAAAACCGCGAGGAGCGCGTGACCACCAGATTTCATCGTTGGTGAGGGAGATTTGGTGAAGGTGAGGGAAGGAGCTGCGGCCCAAAAGGCTCGACGTGAGGAAGGCGCGAAGCATCCGCATTGAATGGGATGAAATCGACTCCGCCCTTCTTTCACCCAGCCTCACCCAAGTGGCTCATGTCGCAACGTGCGGAAACGTGCGACGATGCGGGCAGGTCATGGAATGGGAAGTTACGGGGGTCTTTCAACGTACCTCAAACCGTCCGTTGGACTTGATCTGTTGCTTCCCATGCCGCGGGTTATCAGAATCGCATCAGATGGGCTACCCGGTCTACCAGGGCCCTTCATGCTAGGATCCAATGGAGGGTCCTGGCCAGCCGTCCTAGGTGATGGCGGCTGGATGTCGACCATTGCAGGTCCCATGTTCTGGTGATCGAGCTTGGGGTCGAACGGCGGGACATCGTTCAGCAGTGATGTAAACGGCTGGATGCCGCTTACGGTTGATAATGATGATATCCTAGAATGGCCACCTGATTGATTTGAGGATGTGTACGACGACAGACTGCTGTGGCTGTCGGAAAACTTATGCTTTGGCGACTTAGGGAATCCACCAGTGACGTGCCCATCATCTTCGCGTGGCAAGTTTGGTCTGTATCCTTGTCAATACAATGCTCAAGAACAATGGCATGTTCACATCGTTGACGTTGCTGAAACAAGTCCCAATCCAGCAGGCGGTGACTGAAATGGGACGAACTTCGCTGCAATGTCTCCCTGTGATAAAACCACCCGAGACATTAACCAACTTACCTAGCTGTCAACTGCCCTTCCGACTCGCCAGACATACTGGGCCTGACAGATTATTAGCTTGTGTCCCGAAAAGTACTACAATTGAATTTAATGCGTAAAGTGGGCCACGCCGTACTCCGACTCCCTCATTCGTCGAATCCCATCACCATCGACATGGAAGAGCGAAATCGCAGACGATGGCGACAGCAGGAGACTTCGAAAAGGACACTACATACCGTCCGGGGTGTGTACTCGTCATCGGAGTAATGTTGGCGGAGTGCGCCATCTCGTGTGCCAAAGAACTGAGAGAACTCGCCCTCGAGTGGTTGCTGGACGAGGGATGATAAGAGCTCGCAGAGGTTGATTGATCGACGTCGTATTCGCTATAAAACGCAGGCTTCGCAGAGGGGATGGGGAGCTTCGTGTCTACTGATAGTGATAATGGAAGAGAATAACCGCCCGCATCCCATGGCGTGCGGTTCCGCGGTGCTCGGGCGTCGCTGGTCCGCCTGGAAGAAGCAATCTTCTCCGGGGACGCAAGAATCGGGGTTGGTCCGTCGATAGGCGCAAATGTGGCTTCCAAAATGTTATTCCTGATAATGGGCTTTTTTCCCGCGCCTGCGTTCAGTAGTGATGTCACGTCCATCGCTCAAGCGCGGACAACTGGGGAAAAGTTCTGTCGCCGGGGAGAATCCAGTTTGGCGATTCCTCGGGTTGATGTCGACAAATTTCCCAAACTTCCCGAACTCTGGTCGTCCAGTTCGCCAAGTTCGCCTGATACTCGTGTGCTCGTCAAGTTGATATGGACTCGGTTTCCTTAGTCCAGCTGTAGATAATCCTTCTCACGATGGTGACTCTTGGTCGTTATCGTCGTCGTCGTCGTTATTGTTGTTGATAATGTCCGATCTCTAGGATCCAGTCCGATACATCGGATACTCGTCTGTACACCAAGGCTGCGTAGGTCGCACGACTTGGGGACGGGAAGGTATGGTGGCAGTAGTGAAGGGAAGGGTAGAGAAGTGATAAGGTTGGTGGGAGATCCCAAAGCTTTTGTGTGTGGCGCCCGGGGGGCGGGAGGCAACTAGGGAAGGGAAGGGGTAGGACAGGAGGGCGATGACAAGTTAAGAAGCAAACGATAAGAATATCAGACCTATCGTTGGGATCGCCGTTTCAGAGTCGCACTGACAGTTCCAAAAGCGGATTGAAACAGCCGAAACACCTTCAAGCCGGCCAGTGGTGTGTGTATGTGAAGGGTCATCCGAAAGGGCTTAACACCGCTGCCTCTGGACACGCCAAAGTGGTTCGCAGCTGTCGGATCGACCTCGAACCGAGAGAAACAGAGAGGAAACGGTCCCTTTCCCGTAGCTGAAGTCTTAAGGCTGTACGATCAAGGGGTGATTTGAGGCAGTGTACTGCATGTATGTCGACAGAAGGAGATGTCGTTCAGGTCCGCGAACACGGATTGCCGACGATGGTGTCGTTCGTGTCGTTTCCAAATGCTGGAACGTTTGACACGCCGAGACCGAGTCTCTTTCGGCTTCTTCTTCTTCGAGACGGTGGATATAGGGAAAGACCAAGTCCGAGGTAAGCTCTCTCGTCTTGTGTCCTCGGGGATGTACTTGTCAACAACGGCGAATGCCTCGGCGAAGTTCGTCAAAGTTTCGTTTCGGGAACGCAGGTACTATCATGCCATGGATGAGGCACACGCCTTTCTTCAATATAAACCGAATTGTGACAGATGTTGGCAGGCTTGAGAACAGATGCGGATGGTGATGGAAATGAGAGGGGGGAGTTCAAGGCCAATGTTCGGAAAGGTCAGGAAGAAACAAAGATAAGACGAATGGACAGCGAGAGACGGGGACGAGCCCGGGTAGCCAGGGACACGAAGAAGTAGGGCTGTGCTGAAGGACGCATAAAGGGACGGTAGGGATTGAAGACGGTGGCTGTTTGGGAATCCGGGCGGAGGGTGTAGAGACGGTCAGAACAGAAGCAGTATCGAAGTCATGACTAGGTCAAGACGCCTGAGATGGGTACAGGGACGACGGATGGCTGGACCGAGCCCGGTTGCTGTCAGGTCAGGGCTCCAACGCGGGCTGGTTCACTTTCGAGAAAGAGAGGGACGACGAGACGACGACTAGGCTGGGGCAAGGCCTGAAAGCCGCAAGCAAGCATCGGAGGAAAAGATGGGGACGGAGAGGAGGCTCGCAACGGGAGCCAGCATGATCACTGTGCAAGAGAAGAGTGGGAGCTAGAGAATCTGATCAGAGTTTCCACTTGCGGCAACGCAAGGATGCTGGGCATTATGCGTTGAAGGGGAAGGGATGTAGTCGATGTTTAGACTTCCCCACAGTAGGTTTGGGCGCGCCGGTGGGAAAAAAAGCCCCCGACTGGCCGCTGGCGCAACGAGGGTCCATGTGCTGGGTGCACTTTAGGGACAGGGGTGTCTGATGTCTGGTTGATTTGTGTAACTGGCACAAGAGGCGACAGCTTCTGGGCCCCGCTCCTAGCTCCGTAGTTTTTGGTATGGATGGTTGATCGCTCGGTGCCTTGTGCTGTGCTGTTTTGTGCTGTGCTTGCAGCGAGTCCGTCGTCGGCCCCCAAATCCTGCTGTTGCCAGAGGACGGATGACGGACGCTCTCGCTCTGCGGCGGTTTGCGTCTTTTTGGTGGTGGGTTGCCGTAGGAGCTTGGCGTGCTCGCCGTTGCCGGTGACTAGGGCGACTCCCTCGACGTCGAGTTGTGCATCAGATTGGGCCGTAGCAGATCATGGCGTCAGATGCTCCGTCTGAACCATGATCTCCGCAGGGAAATCGTCCGGGCAGGGCTTAGATTTCCAAATAGCCAGCCAGGGCAGTGTGATAATAGACGTGATATAGGCAGTGGCAGGGCGGGTGGCATCTATTGCAACTCGGTGCCATTGGCGCGCTCAACTTTGACGGGGTTGCCAAAAAAAACAAAAAAAAAAACAAGCGTGGTTGTATGTGATGAAAGCCGCTGGTCCATACTGCGTAGTAATTAGTGCGCCGCGGCTGCTCGGTTGATGCAAATGGGAGGCCCTGAGGCGCAGTTGTCCATCGATCTGCAAGCTGAGACCCGGGATTGGGCGTGAAACTTGTCAAGGAAGCACTCCGTTTGAAGTCACTGGGATCTGTGATGGGGTGGACCGTGGATGGGGACAGGGCTCATGTGTGCGATCTCTGACCGGATTGGTATCTGACCGTGGGCGAGAGGGGCCAAATTAGCACACCAGGCCACGGGCATGTGCAGTAAGATGTTCAGTCGGTCGGGAGATGCCGAAGCGAATGCTGGGGCTGCTGACTTGCCCACCCGTGTCGCTCGGTGGCTACCGCATCTGGTCTTCCGCTGTCTGTCGTTGCTCTTGGCTGTCAAACCCGCGGATAATTGTAAGGCGAATCTCTGGTTGATGGATGTTGCTGGATGATACCGCAGAGGCGGTTTGGATGGATGCAGGCGACCAGATGAAGAGAGCAAAACCACATGGCTCGGCGCACGAGGGAAAGCCACAAGGCGGCCGGCAGAGGCGACGGACCCCGCCAGCGCCAACTACCAACGGCCGATTGCTTCTTTGTCGCCATTGTGCGTGTGGTGGTGTGCTTTGTGCATGTGTTGCTGTTGCAATATACAACGGCGCTGCAGCCACGCGGCGCGTTGGGACAGAGATGCCGGCTTGATCTTACAAGAAAGTCGACCTTCGGGGGAGAGCAGGATTCGAGCTCAACTCTGGCAGTCTTCTGGTGTGTCTCATGTTCTCGACCACCGCTAGATGTGACGCCAGCCCGTGCTCTGGTCGTAGGAAACGTC